ATGTCCAAAAAGAAACTGTAACTTTTTGTGTATTTTATCCATAAGAGAAGAAATCAAATTGGAAACTGAGAATGAAAACATACCATATCCTGCTTATTTGCAAACACCAAAATAACACTGTGGAGCATAAATGGATCTTTGATGATAGCCTGCAAGAAATAGGTCAGTCAAATTCAGAAACTATTACCCACATTATCTTATTTATTGATATAACTCTCCAAACATCCACAACCTGAAATTCTTGTTTTGCTTTTCCAATTCTCTCTCGGTCCAAGGAATCGACAACATAGATCTACATAGAGACAAAGAGTCCGCTTTAAATACAAACAACTGTGACGGAACCAACAAAACAGATTAACAAATGAATTTATAACTACAAGCAAAGCTGGAAAAAATTAATTTGATGATTGGACCATATTCAACACAAAATCACATAATAGCAGCACAAAATAAGAAAATAAATAGGTCCAGCAATAATCATAATCTCGCACGATAAGACCATAGACTGATCATTACCAGTCCATCGGTATTATTAAAATAATGCCTCCATAGTGGCCTTAGTTTCTCTTGCCCACCAACATCCCAAACTGTGAACATGACATTCTTATACTGAACTTTCTCCACATTAAAGCCTGCAGGAGATAAAGAAAAGAATACAATTACCATCAATTTGTTGATCAATTTAACAGCACAAAGTTACATGGCTTGAATTTACCTTCATTTTTCAAACTGAAATTTTAAATTTCATAGAGAAGTCTCATGTGATAATTGATATTTTTTATGACAATGTCCATGGTTCTTATTAGTCCACTACTATAGTTTTTGACAATTTTGACATTACATAAATGCACAGAGTGTAATTGCAGTCTAGTAATCAAAATGGATCACTGTAGCAAATATGAGATAATTGACTGACAACAGCTTACAAACTAAGCAAACCCTTCATATCCAGAAATCAAGACAATGGAAGAAAAGTTACCTACCGATTGTAGGAACAGTAGATAACACTTCTCCAATGTGCAACTTGTACAGTATGGTTGTTTTACCAGCAGCATCCAAACCCAGCATCACAACCTAAAACAGCCCCAATAAACTAGTTTACAATTTAAAAAATAAGAAAAGCAGATCCAAGGAATACTAACAAATAAATGAGGCTCATCAACAATATTTAAGAACTAACCAATGACATGAAATAAATTGACAATGGCAAAGGACCTAAAAAGAAAAATAAAAAAACAATCTGCAGACGTGACATGAAAATAGAGCAAAAGCCCATACAATGCCTTGTAACCCAGATATGGCCAATAATGTTTGTTTCCAAGCAAAAGGAAAGGTAAGCTTCATTAACTTCCCTTGAAGCTTTGACCAATTGAAGTCAAACCCCATTCATCAGAAAACAGTCATAGACCTCTTTTGAAGAAGAAATTTCCCATAAATTTACAAAAATTCATGAGAGTTCCTATATCTATTTTAAGAATACTATTTTCTACCTGTAATCAGCCTCAAATTAGGAACAAACAATGCGTTCTTCAGAGCTCATGACTTTTAAGTATCAAGCAAAACCACTTCCACAAAGAAAATATAAAAATAAAATAAAATCATCAAGTTTCAACTCTCCCTCTCCTTTTTTTTTTTTTTTTTTCCTCGTTTCACGACATCAAAATCAACGACCAATTACTGCGAACCTCACAACATAACATTCAAAATAACACAAATTCATGAATTTAAAAAAAAAAAAAAAAAAAAACCCGAAACGACTGAACGGATTAAGAAGAAAACGAATTCACCTGTAATCAGCCTCAAATTAGAAACAAGCAAGGCGTTCTTCAGAGCTTATGACCTTTTAAGTATCAAGCAAAACCACTTCCACAAAGAAATATAAAATAAAATAAACTAAAATCATCAAATTTCCCCTCTCTCTTTCTCCGCTTTCAAATATCAAATCAAAGACCAATTACATGCGAACCTAACAACACAACATTCAAATAAACAAATTTCATGAATAGTTAAAAAAAAAAAAAATAACTAAACAACTGACACCGATTAAAGTAGAAAACAAACCTAGGCGTGCACAAGAATTGAAATTTAAAAATAAAAAGAAAAAGAGGTAACTTACACGCATCTCACTGTTGCCAAAGAGGCATCGAAGAGTTTGCGGAAGGCTTGGCCCATGCTTCGCTTGCTTCAGTGGCGATGCTGTTCGTTGTTGTTGTTCAAGTATGAGCCCAATTTCGGGGATCGATTTGCTAGAAATAAGAAAGCGAGACCGAGAGAGAGTTGTAAGCGTGGAGCGTGGTTGATCTTTTCTTTACAGCTGCCTTTCTTTTTTGTGAAGAATAAACAGAACTGTGATATTTTCTCGATATTACCTTTAACTCCCCAATACTTTGTAGAGAATACGTTAAGGCCCAAATATTCATTATCAGTATTATTTAATCCACTGTTATCTGTTATTACATGTGACGTTAAATTAGACTTTTACAAAATACAATTACTTTAACAAAAGTAAAAATCAAAATAATAGAATTAAAAAAAAACTTAAAACTGAACTGTACTGAATTTTTTCTGATGTTTTAATTTTTTAAACTTTAATAAGTTTAATTTCAACCACGTCCTTATGTAATCGATAAGACAAAACACTAATGATTTTCGAATACTATTAATACACACAGATTTTTAATAATATCATTATGTTTTCAATAATTCTAAGTAGTTAATAGTTTTTAAAAATTGCATAGACATTTTAAGATTTATCATTTCTTGAGAATACATAATCTAAAAAATTATTACTATTGAATTTTTTTATAAAAATTATTATTATTTTGAAGGATTTTTTGTGAAATTGAAAAATAAAGAAATTGCAAATGCTTATTTAAAATAAAACTCAGGGATAAAATGGTAATTCAAAATAATTTGTAATTGTGAATATCAATAAATTTAAGATGACTATATATGAGAATATTTGATAGAGGAGTGTAAATTATAGTTTTTTTATTGGGTGGACGAGAATTCGAAGCTTCTGAGGTCAAACGTTCTTGCTCTCTGAAAATGATCTGTTATTTCAGGTTTTACTTTCTTGTTTAGATGTAACCATTTTGGATAGGTACCAAAAATGAAAGTGCAACAAGATTGCAGATGGGAGTTTTTTTTTTTTTTTTTTTGTCTGGAGCCTACCCCCTCAACTCATCCTTCGAAGACCCTAAAATGAACACCGCTTGTATAAATCTCCTTAGTGATAACCTCTATTATTGCCTAAAAAAACTCATATTAGACCTTTTTTTTTTTACATCAAACCATCCAAGACAATAACTTACATGATGGTTTCTTGAGAGTTTTCAGCATCTCTTTAAACTTAATTATCGGACATTTTAGCTACCAGAACAATAACTAGATCTGATATATGTAACACATCAGATGCATCGATTGTCACTCAATTTATATAAATGAATTAACCATCTTCCTTCGAGATGGTAAAGGTATTTTCATATTTATCAGGAAGGCGAGTACTCGTACTCAATTTGTTGACAGACAACGCACCACATCCAAGTTCGAGTGATGAGGTGTAAATGTGAAAAGTCAGATTATCTGGACGGATTAGATAAACTCAGTTTGTAGGGGTGCCAAGAAGAGAGGCCAAATCCTGCTCGTGCTAAACTCTTCTGGGATGATGTTTTACTCTGCCTGTTCCAGTTCACCAAATTGCATGCAAACAACATATAAGAAGGTTTCTTATCCATGAGAAATCACCATACCAGAAGTTCATCAGCTCGCTCAAGCGAGGAACGACATCAACATGCCCAAGAACAAAAGTCTTGGAAATTACATCTACCATGAAAGGCAGCATTTGTCAAGTTTGCTTTGTTTCGAATAGTTTAGGTTTTGTTGCAGTGCTGGATGAGTGCTCGAGCACACTCTTGGCAGAGCCTGCATTTGTCTGTGAAACGGAATCGGTTAAGCTAGCTATTGCACACTTCCTATGAAGGCAATAGTAGGCTACAACCTGGATCATTAGAAACATGAAGCAGCCTATGTATTTAAGAGGACAAAGCAATGTGTTCAATTCATTACACATGATCTAGAGAGCTACTTCTTTATCTCTCAATCACTCAGGCAGATTAACATCTGACAAAAATTGTTGCCATTTTATCAGATAATGCAACACTGGGAACATGGTAGGCAACCAAGTTGAAGAGGAGAGGCAAGGCTGGCTCTGCCACCAACATATCGGGTAAAAATCTATTGAATACTGGAACAGTATTTGAAAGCAATAAATAAAACACAAACTTGGAGTTACAAGTGGTTATTAAACCGAAAAATTCTACTATAAAATACAGATAACGAGATATTTTGAAATCCCAAAACTTTTGCACCCAATACCTAACTGCCCTAAATAAAAAAAAATAAAAAATAACCTTGATTATCAGCAACAGATTTCCTCAAAATATACAAGAAAACTGTAACCAAACTAAAATGGTAAAAGTCATACAAGTTCAAAATTGGCCGAGTAAACCTTATGAAGTACAAAAAACCACATGTAGAGCAGTGACAGGTACCAACAATCCTCTTACCAATATAACCATAAATTTCCCAAAGGAGACAATTAAACTAGCAAGCCGTACAAGATTTAAAATGAGATAGGTGTCCCAAGCTTAAATCTAACCAACTCGACTACAGACAGGTAACTGAATCCAGCAATGTCAAACAAAAGAAACAAGAATGAAGAAACTTACAGGTTGCTGAAAATTGTCTTCCTTTTAACTTCCAGTCCTAATTCAGCACATCCTGTGGAAGCAATTCACCTTGATCTTCTCAAATCACAGGCATATTCCTAGCAAAGAGCTGCAAGTCATAGATTTAAGATGTGATAGCAAATTTATGTACTTTTTTTTTTTTTTTTTTTAAGGATGTATGTTAAGGGGAACCAGCACAATTGTCCATGGAGAGAATATAATCATATAAGTAAATCCGAAGAAAACAGAATTTTAGTAAAGTCAGCCTCTGATTCATATTGTCATTTTCTCCCTCTAATTTGTACAACTCTAGTTCAATTTACAATATACAAATCTTCTTCCATTTTCTTTCTATATCATTGAAGAAAAACTATGATTGAATCATGTGCGTAAAAATTTCAAAAGTCAAAATACAAAAGTTCAAAACAGTCACTTTTCTTGTTCTCTAAGCTTGAACTGAGTGCAAAAATCTTGATACGGTGAGAAACCTTCCTGCCATTTTGAGAACTGCTTCTTAATGATATTGTAAGCTTTCGATTCAGGAGGTGTATTGCTAATATTAGAAGTATCATACTTCAAAACAATGGGGCAAAGATCATCACCCAGATCAACTGCAGCACTATCCACTTTGTCTTTCAGAAAAGACTCAGACTTGGCCACTTTGGAAATCAAATTGAAAAATTTCTCATCCTTGCAAACAAAGTTTCTCAGTGTCTGATCCATATCGGAACAATCAAGTACAGTTGGATGGTAGTAAATGAATGGTTTTGGTTTTCGAGAGTCAACCCATGCCTCATCTCTGCCATCAGCAAGGGAGACAGCATGTTCATCGCGAAAATCAATGGCTGAATCTGATACAGCCATTTCACGGGCCACCTGCATAACTTCCTCACACCGAAGATTAAGTTCTGCCTCTGATGAGAAATTGCTGGCTTCTTCTTCTGAATATCGAGAACTGTTACGGAATTCATGAAGTGTAACAAGAACAGGGAGTGGAAGAACAGGACCTACAAGGGCATCATCACGCTGCACTTTCTGTGACCACTTATTGCTGCGGCATGAAGGCTTCCTTAAGAAAAAAGGTGGCAACTGGGGTAGATCTGGAACAACTAAAAATTCCAAAGATACCTTCTTCTTGTCCATAAGTACTTCAAGAACTTCAGTATAGTTGGAAAAGGCCAATTGTAAAAGTTCCATTGGCAAGCCAGCCCATGCTCTCCTCAAAGCAACCTCACGAACACTTGCTGGCAAGCTTATGTCACTAAAAACAACAGAAATGGCAGGAGATGTTCTAAACCGACTCAAACCACAAACTTTCAGCTTCTCACATAAGATTTCATGGAAGTCTATGTTAAAAGAATCTTTCTCTTGCAGATCATTGAAATCATTCTTCAATTTGGAATCCAGGACTTCAATAAGATTATCATTCAAATGCCCATAAAGATAGTCAAGTTTCAAGTACTTGTATCTTTTTGGAAATTTGTAATTGTCATCATCTCTAGAACACAATAAGTTATCTTCCAAATGTAACAATAAATCTCCATGGGCTAGTTCTAATCGTTTTACCACATCCCATGAGGCAAAATATCTTTGTGCTTCAAGCTTCCCTGAGGACATTAGCCTAATCAAAGTGAACCCACCAGATTCATGAGGTTCATGAATGAGGGTAGAAAAATCCTTGTTTAGTATGCCAAAGCCCAAAACCATGTCTTCCTTCTGCTGCCAATCAGTCCATTTAGGAAGATCATCTTTCCAAAACTCTTTTCTTAGAAGACAAGTTCCACACCAACAACCACGTCCTGACAACAACAAATCCGTAGGGAGTTCCCATGCGTAAAGAGACTTGGAAAATGTTGAAATTTTTGAAGCAAAAATCCCACTATGACCTGGTAAAGGAGGTCCATAACAAAATAGACGAAATTCACATGACCAAAAAGATCCCAAGATAATGCCAAAACCCGATTTATTTGCCCATTCATACATATCATCCCCTGACTTTGACCTCAACTCAGTCAATCTAAGCGAGTCAATATAGCTTGGTTTATCAAGACCATGAGCCCACTGCAACACTGGCATCAAAGGCTTACGCACATCAGAGAGGACCAGCAAACTATCAGAAGCTAAAACAAAATTAAAACCATCACAGCCCACTTTACAAAATGCATGGAACTGCTCCTTTTCAACTGGAGCATACAAACTAAGCATATCAATCTTCGCTAACAAACTAATATTACAATCATCGGACCTCAAATCAACTAAAAAAACTGAATCCGATCGAGCAACAATCAAGATTCTAGGATGCCAACTGAACTCACAACCTATCCATTTACAATTCCGTAAACAAGCCGAATCCTCATTCCACGACAATCTCAACCTCTTCCCTTTTAAATATGTATTCGTTTTCGAATTTCTAACACAATCATCCAGATCAAACAGAAACAAAACACCACTTTGTAACAAAATCACACTCTCCTCAGGCAAATGCGGGCTCCAGCAAGCACCCACAACAGCGCAACTCTTAAACAACTTAAACCCCAAATAACTCACAACAGGCTTTTCACTAACTCTACTAACTTTAACACTAAACCAATGAACCGAATACATTGTAAAAGCTAACAAGTAACCAACACTAACCAAAGCATTACCTTTAAAATCCGAAACATCCCCAACTGGATTCACCAAAATCTTGCATATCCGATGATTAAACCGATTCTTGACTACGAAAACACCGTCATTTTCATTACGCAAAACATCAAAACCGGATTCCTTCGCCAAAACCACCAAAAACCCAACTTGGTCATGGTTGTGACCAGTGGAAAAGAACACAATGACACTGTCATTTAAAGGGCAATGAAGAAGCTGAAGACGGTTGTAGGCGAGAGCAGAAACGGTATCTTTATGATGTTGGGGTGAAGATGAGAGGAATGAAGGTAGGGAGAGCTGTGGAAGAGGAGAAAGCAAAGGGGGGAAAAGAGAGGGAGAGGAGAAGAGAAGGGTTAGAGATTTGGGGTTTGGATTGAAGAAAAGAGGACCAAGAGTGGAACTCAAAGATGGACCTGAAAGAAGAAGCGGCGGCGTACAAACTTTGCCCACCGGGAACTGGGACTTCCATTCATCTGTGAAGTCCATTCTTCAAGTTTTATTATTATTATTGCTTTCCTTTTTATGATGGTGAAGACGATGATGATGATTCACAAGACACATTCAATCTTTTTAAAAGGCATTCAAATTCCAACCCTAAACTGGGGACACAATTTAAATCAGTACCCACCTACGGCAGCCGCCAAAGCGCCGCCGGCAACGAAGCTAGTGGAGTCATCCGTTGTTCCCGCCACCAGTAACCAGCTCACCTGCCAGCAGCAACCGCGCCAGACTCAAGCGCCAAGCGGCGTAAAGGCACCTATATTTTAGGTAAAAAGAGAGGGAAAAAAAAAACTAAGAGGATTTAAGAGGATTTGGTTTTGCGGTGAGCGTGGGAAGCTTTGTGAACATGTCCGTCTCTGTAAATTAACAATTTGTCAACGTTAAAACCGGACCGGACAATGACCCGTTCAAGGATTCGGTTTCCGATTTGACCGGTTGGACCGATCGGACAGTAATTTATAAAATTACATTGTAGTCTCCAAAAGTTTGAAATTTATCAAAAACACTCCTACAATACTCCCTTAAGGTTTGAAATCTATCTAAAATACCCCTGTTACGCAAAGATTCTGGTGAGTGTAGCGGCAACGACGATCGACAGCCAATAGAAGCTGGAATCTTAGGGCTTTTGATGTGCAGGTGCTGGCGACTCTGATGGTAGTGCGACGAAGTTCCATCGGCGTCAGAATTCGCCGGAATCAACGAAAGAAATCCAATGTTGCGTAAAGCCGTAAACTTTAGGTGGATGGCGATCGACGAAGGCTGGATGACGGCAACTGAAAATGGATAGGTTTGGTCGTGGAGATGTCGTCCGTCGAATGAGGGTGTTTTCTCCGTCAAAAGATGCCAGAATCTGGCGGGGTTTAGCTGCGATTGGACCGCGATTCGGCACTATTCAGACGGTCCAACCGCGGTCCAATCCGGTTTAACTTCAAATAGCGGTTTTTTATATATATCGGACCGGATTTGCCACCGGTTGCCGATCGAACCGGTCCGACCAGGTGTATACTGCCTTGCATGTCCGCCCGTGGGCCGGATTGAGTTGGTTGTTGATATTCCTAAATTAATTCTATTATTAGGAAATAAATTTATTTATCTCGTCCGATTAATGTAGTATTTGACGTATCATCAATAACATTTTATCAGTTTTATATATATAACATTATTGTTCCTTAAAACAAATATATCAACGAGAACCATGACGATTTCCTCTTCGTTACAATGATTTCAAATTTCTCATACTCTCGTGGCGTTATAATGTTTGTCGGAAGGGTTATAGATAATAAATGTGTTAATTTAACTAAAAGAAAATTCTCATTACCTAAATAAATAAATCGTGTTTCATTTTATTTGATTCTTATAATCTCAAAATTTATTATAAAAGTCTTTACCTTTAAATCACATTTTTCTTTCTTCTTTATCCATTTCTAAATTATTGTCGTACTCTAACTTTCTATTTACATTTTATTTATTAAAAAGTTTCGATTTTAATAAATAAATAAACTATCTTCTCTTGTGAAAAAAGTAAATATACTTGCATTCATTTAAACTCTCTCTGTTGTATTTAATTAATATAGTTTATTTTCTTAACGTGAGATTGCTTAATAAGAAATGTATCTTTATTCGATAATTCAATTGATAGATTCATAAATTTTGTTAGTGTTCTTTTATCTCCGTGAAAATATAGGAAAAATAGTTTTAAATATACAATTATTTTTAATTAAATACGAATAACTTGTATTAAAAGGGAAGATGGGCAAATAATCAAGTCAGTTGCTCACCCTTGAACTATTGATCGGATAAAAACTTCAATGATCATCCTTATTAGAGATCAAGGTAAATCGAATTTAGGATTTTTTGAATAATACGCTTAAGAGTTTTAGTTTACTATTCGAACACTAAGCGGTGGTTAAACAATAGTGACCAATTTGAGTCATAAAGTACTGGAGGTTATCACATGCTTTTGTATGTTACCACCGAANGCAAAATTGCCCAAGTATATATAAATGCAAAAGGTTGCATTTTTGTTCATAACACACATTGTTCACTCAAAGCAAAACCAAAACTCTCTCTAAAAGCCACGACCACTCTCTAAACCTCTCAAGGTGGTGTTAAAGTGTGGAGGTCTCATTACTTTGAGGCTGATCTTCATCAATCCAAAGCAAAGGAGTAGGTATAATCTCTTTTCCAAGCTTTGTTTGAAAACCAGTTTTTAGAATTCATGCTTTCATTCTCCATCTCCACCACTCTTCATGCATGCTGATTCTTTCACGGCTGTCCCTAATGTTTATAAATTTTTTTTATTGTATTTTAATGAGGGACGGGCGTCCTTTAAATGGGGACGCCCGTCCATATACTATGGACGGGCGTCCATGTGAGTGAACGCCGTCCAAATTTGATGGACAGCCGTTCACTAGAAAAAAATTATAAAAAAATTCAGAGGCACGTTACACGCTCTGTTTTAAAAACTGAACCGGACCGGCCAGTCGGACCGGTTGGACCGGGAACCGGCAGCTTCTCCAGTCTGGTTTAGGTCTCAGGGGGTTTTTGAAATATTTTAAAATTATGAGGGTTACTTTGTAATTTTATAGGGGTATTTTGAGATATATCAAAAGTTTAGGGATTAATTGGTAATTTTATTAGGACATTTTTGGAATAAACAAAAATTTTAGGGACCAATTTAAACTTTTTTAGGGGAATTTTTGTAATATATTAAAATTTAAGGGGTTAATATGTAATTTTTTTAAAATAAAATATTAATGACGTCATTGGTCCAACCGGTTGGACCGGTTGACCCGTAACCCGGATAGCAAAACGGTTTGTCCTCCGATCCGGATTTTAAAACAATGGTTACACATAGGCCGGTACAGAATTTTGGTGTAATTTTTTCAGTGTCCGTAACTTTGTTGGTGGTTTTTTAGGGATTAGATTTGCTAGTTAGTGAACTAGTTTTAGCCCCAGGGAGGTCGGACTGGCGGGTTGACACTATTTATCCAGTCTAAAAACAATTTAAAGAGATTGCCGTCATTTACTCTAAAAACAATATACAAAGTATTTTATACAAAGTAATGTCAGATTGCCTTTTATTGATACATCATTCAACAAAATCAATTGTGTTTCTATTAAAACTGGCTTTTTATATTAATTGGTCTGTTTATTTCTGTTACAAACTCTAACGTGATGGCTCACTCAATTTACATTTAATGAGATGAGATCCGAACTGACCGATTACGAACTAATATATTAGGTTTTAAAGAAAAAATTAATAAGAAGAGTTTATAAATATAGTATTGCTGAATCCTTATATACCCTCTGTACAATTGGATTAACAACTTGGCATTCATTAGATTTGGGATTCTAATATCCCTTAGCTGCCTACCACTCTGCCATGGTTGTTGGGTAAGAGAAAAGAGAAAAAACCACTGAAATATGTTCCTTCAAAACCCTGCCTGTGTCACTGCATTTACCTGTTTCTAAAATCTAAATGAAAATACAGGCATTGAAGAACGTTTAGACGAAAAACTCAAATTTATTCCAGGAATGTCAAAGGTACAAGTTCGTGACTTGCCAGAAGGAGTTGTTTTGGGAAATCTGCAATCACTTTTCTCAAACATGCTTCACCAAATGGGTAGAAAGCTGCCTCAAGCTGATGCAGTTTTCTTGAATAGCTTTGAAGAATTAGACCTTACAATTACGAATGATCTCAAGTCCAAGTTCAAGAAGTTTTTGAATGTTGGTCCCTTCACTCTGTTGTCTCCGCCGCCACCGGCTGAAGTTCCTGACATTAATAGCTGCCTTTCGTGGCTGGACGAGCAGAAGAAAGCTGCTTCTGTGGCTTACGTCAGCTTCGACATGGTGGCGAAACTGCCTCCTGTTGAAGTTGTTGCCATAGCTGAGGCCCTGGAGGCTGGTAAAGTTCCGTTTATATGGTCACTCCAGGACAAATTCCAGGTATAAATCACCATGAAAGTCATATATATACGTTTATTACTTTTTATATCAGTAACCATAATAAAAATTCGGATTTTAAATCCTGGCTACGTCTTGAAGGCAGATTTACCACAGGGGTTCAAAGAAAGAACAAAACCTCATGGGATTGTGGTGCCATGGGCTCCTCAAGTAGACATCTTGAATCATGAAGCCATTGGAGTTTTCATAACACATTGTGGGTGGAACTCAATGCTGGAGAGCATAGTTGGAGGAGTGCCAATGATTTGCAGGCCACTTTTTGGGGATCACAGGCTGAACGGGAGGATGATAGAGAGCATTTGGGAGATCGGACTGAAAGTAGAAGATGGGAAGTTCACAAAAGATGGATTGATGAAGAGATTGGATTTGGTTTTAAGGCAAGAAGAAGGGAAGAAAATGAGGGAAAGAATCAAAAAACCAAAAGAAGATCTTATAAATGCCATTGGACCAAAAGGAAGCTCTGTGGAGAACTTTCAAGTGTTGTTAGATATTGTGTCAAAGGGCTAAAGAAGTAAGTTGATTGCCTGTTGAGAAAGGTGATGTCTCAACATTTGTGATGATTTTTGTTTTAGTTGCAATAAACTAAGAAGTGAATGAACTATCGTTTTAGCTTTTAAGTAATGTGGTGCCGAGGGCCTCATTTCTAGATAAATAATTTGTATTATCGTGGTTGTCTTTATACTTTCAACAATAATACTGTATTTACAAAGAAATCTTATAAAGATTTCTATACAAAGTGATGTGGTAAAAAATAAATGGAAGACTGAAACAAAAAGTCAAACTCATTATATTCACTATTCTATTCATTTTTTGTCACATCACTTTGTTTAAAGATTTTTGTAAGATTTCTTTGTAAATATAGTATTACTATTATAATTTTGTATGATACGGACTTGATCTTGAATGTTGCCGAAACCTCGACCGTTTTAATGAGCTTTAAGATGGCATCATAAATAGTTTTGGTAATAATAAAAGGGGCAAATAATGTCACCCAACTCGTTAATAACATTTATGGATACCAACAACCTCATACCACTAACTAGAAAATTTATCAGTTGTACGGACTACGCGTTATCGTATACTTTCTTTCTTGTGCTTGTGAACACGCAAGTGAGTAATAGTAACTAATAAATGTGCCAACGCCATTCATCTTCTTCAACCTTTGATCACTGTTTCTCTATATAAACCTCTCACACCACCATAACTTTTCTCTCTATTTTCAACCTTCTTTCATCATCACAACCACACAGCCATGCATCAAACCACCGCCACCTCGAGGTCTCACGTNAAGAAGGGAAGAAAATGAGGGAAAGAATCAAAAAACCAAAAGAAGATCTTATAAATGCCATTGGACCAAAAGGAAGCTCTGTGGAGAACTTTCAAGTGTTGTTAGATATTGTGTCAAAGGGCTAAAGTAAGTTGACTGCTTGTTGAGAAAGGGATAAATAATTTATAATATCGTGGTTGCCTTTGATGCTTTTGTATGGTACGAACTTGACCTTGAATGTTGCCGAAACCTCGACAGTTTTTAATGAGCTTTAAGATGGCATCATAAATAGTTTTGGTAATAATAGAAGGGGCAATTACAGGTGGGCAAGGCCCGGGCCAGCCGGCTTTGGGTTTCGCTGTCTAAATTGATTGGGAATGGTCTTGGGTCCATGAGATTTCTCAGGGCCAGACCGGTCCTAGGACCAGTCCTATTGGCTTTTTTATAAAATAATATTTAACCCCTAAATTTATTATGTATTTATATATTATAGATAATTTTAGCTAATTTTCAGGAGGTATATGTATTTGGGGGTTTTAAAAATTAATGAGCGAGCCCAGGCTTGCGACTGATTCTAGGCTCAGGCCCTAGAGGAGGGACCAAGTTTTTGGGCTAATCCCTTTGGGCTCGGCCCAAATTCCTACCTCGAGAGGCAATATTACACTTACAACTTAATTTTACAAATTTTTTCTTACAACTTCAACGTGACATTTCGTAATTAATCAGCTCATAAATGGGTTTTGCATGTTCAATTGCGAACTAACCAATTACGAATTACTACGTCGGGGTTATAAAAGAAAATTTGTAAAATTAAGTTGTAAACCAATCTTTATTGTAATAAAAGTGCAAAACATAGGATTTTTTTCATATAGGAATGATAGAAATATTGCCGTTTATTTCAGGTTTATTTTCCTAGTGTCTCCACTCACATTGATTCAAATGTTGCCCTTTTAAGTTTATTTATGAGATTTCTAAAACAACAAATCCATGATTGAATTTAATAAATATTTTTGAATTACCTTCAACTGTTTATTTTAACACTTAGAATTTAAAAGAAGCATAAAGTATTTTATACAAAATAATGCGAGATTGCCTTTTATTGATACATCATTCAGCAATATTAATCGTGTTTCTATTAAAAATGACATTTTATATTAATTTGTCCTTTTATTTTATGTCATGTCACATTACTTTGTATCAAATACAAGATCTATCGTAAATAGCAAATCCTTATATAACCTCCTGTACAATTTGATTATCAACTTAGCATTCAGTAGATTTGGGATTCTAATATCCCTTAGCTGCGTGCAACTCTGCCATGGTTGTTGGGTAAGAGAAAAGAAAAAAAACCACTGAAATATGTTCCTTCCAAACAAGTTTTTGGACTATAAATTGATCAATATCACGAATTACAAACAGAAAATGGGGAAATAGAGAAAGGTGAAGAAGGGAAAAGAGAATAACACAAAAACACAGAGCATTCTATTAATATGAAATATTAAGGGAATTTTCTGCACAAACTCGCCAAGGTTAGTGTGTAGTATTAACACCTAATGGATTGAATCAACACTTCAAAATGAGTCATCTAAACAGACAGTCTGCTTTCCAACCATCATGACTGAGTACAAATATATCAAGCTGGATCCAGGAAAACCCGTACAGTGACTCGGTATAACACCCTACATTAGCATTCTAAAATACTCTACACCCAGCCAATAAAGACACAGAAGCACCACGCCCACAGCAACCAAAAGAATGGCGCACTGGCGCCTTCACGATTCACCGGTTTCCATGGGACCGAAAATTCTGGGGATGATAAAAGAATGGGAAAAAATGCTCCTATCTGTGTTCATATCACCTGATTCTTGTAATTGAATCAAGATGCCTAGAGCAACTCCCAGATTAAAAAAAATTAAAATGATGAAATTAATTTCCAATGGCAAAGTTAGCCATCTATGAGTCCACCATTTCATCTTGTATCTCGTTGGGGGCAATAAGCCCTGGAATAGAAAGCATTCGTTGTCGCTCTCTTTCCCGTTGAGCGGCAGCTTCTTCTGCATACAAATCTTTGTTGTCCTGTAGAAAGAGTTGAAGAGATAAAAAATTAGACTCATGATACAAGGAATAGTTCAAATAAAATGTAAAGCACATATTGCAAACTAGTTGAGAAGCACAACGCAAGACATATATAGTTATATACTACTTCCAAGTGTCACCTGAGCTGAAAATTCTTTTGACTGCACAAGAAAGTCTCGTATGTGATTCTTAAATGTGGAAAGGTCATTTCTTGACTCAAATAATCCATTCACAAATTGAGTAACCTATAAGGAAATGTCCTTTCAAGTCAACAACCACCGAGTAAATATTAAAAAAAAAAAATTCAAATAACTAATGAATCTTATATTTGATACCTCTGATGCAGTCATGTTGGGAAATGAAGTACCCAAAAGTTTTATGGTATACTCACGAACAAACATTGCATTATTCGGATACGGATAAGAAATTGTGGCAACATCCCACAAAGGCTCTGTTAACAAGCCACTCTCAGCCTGAAAATAAGATAAGGTCAACTGAAAATCTCAACTCGCTGTGGAAAACAACAAACAAGGCATTATATGTATGACACATTACCAAGCAAAACAAGTGCTGCAGCACTAGAACATGCAACTTGAACCCAGGTTTATGAAATGTGTCTGTCAAGACAGCAAATATTTCTTGCTCGATTGTCAAAAAATATGTCCGGTAGAATTGGTTACAGAACTCAGAAGCCTGCAAAATTGAAACCACAAAAAATGTTTAGCTCTCACATGGAAAATATTTCATCAATCCAGCAAGAATATGCAAGACGGCAATAAAAATGATACCTGGAAGTTCTTCAGCATCTCCAATAAAAGATTTAACCCAGTTTCAGCAATATTCCGTTCAGTGTGCCGAAATGCCCAAATGATTGAATCCATTACTAGCTTAAGTTGCTGATGTAGAACATAAATACCATTAGAAACAATAACAGTTCATTGAAACAATCTGTAAAGCTTAAATATGGTTAACATTGGAAAATGATTTAACAACATTTAACCCAGAGAAGAGACAGATAAAAAGATCTGTTATCAGGAATCCAACCACTAATAGTTTGAAAATGGCTCAGTGAAGGACCAAAAACAAATCTAATCACCTACCTGACTTGACAGCCGAATCAAAGCAGGAAAACAGTGAGTAGCAATGGCACGAAGCAATGAAAAGAACTTGAGTCTATGCTCCGGGTAATCTTCAAAATTTTTGGTTATCATCTGCACAGCAACCAGATATGTCAATCAAATCTCTTAGAAAGGAATATTCTGGTAAGTAACAACAAGAGAGTGAATTCCAAAAAAAGTAATCTCCGTTTGACCAAAAAGCTTGCTAACAAGGGTTGGTCTTCCATCAAAAATCAAGGGCAGCTCATACAAACATAATATGAGTACAACATTTTTCAAAACTAAACCATTAAATCAAAATAGGTAAATGGTGGAAAAAAATGCTTTTTAAGTCAAAGTCAATATCATATAAATATATGTCCTCACCTCCAGTGTGCACTGGAAAATGGCTTCAAATATACGAGGCACATCATCTATCATTGCACTCTTGTACCTTCAAACAAGAGGGAGAACACCATAAGAAGCAAAACATTAAAAATGAAAAAAGTGAGGTAAAAAATTTAACGTTTTATAGAGATTAGTCAGAAAACAAGACTGCCTCCTCATTCCACACAGAATACATCAGTTTTATTCAACCTTATAGGAAAAACCCAACAGATAGTTAAGAATATCACTGCCACAACTCATTACTGAATTAAAGATGTGTCACAATCAAAAACATTATAAGCAAAAAAATAGAGTACTTGTTTATTATTGTCGCAAAGAGGGATAACACTTCTGACTCTCTAGCATCAGGTAAATTCCTAGCATAGTCACCAAGGACAGGATCCATCATTGGGGGCACAAACTGTTTTCCAATCTGTGGTTGATCTTCAGCCTTGTCCAAGAATGTCTCAATGAGTTTCAGAGTCTCCCTCTTAACAGAGCTGCAGAATTTACAATAAATTATGAAAACAATAAACAATGAGCTTAAACAAAGACACAAACTAATTCCAAATTATTGGTCATACCGCAGAAGCTTCACATATGATGTCTTAGATGCAAAAGGCCCTCCTTCGGCAATGCTACTTGATATAAGCTCGCTGTACATTCTGATATTAAAAGTTGTAAATAACAAGATTAGTAGACAAGAAATCCACAACACTTGTTATAAATAATAATGCAGATGAAATTACTTGTAGACATTTAGCATGTCCAAAAAGATGACAGAAATTTGCGACAAGAAGAACGTTCCAAGAGAGCTGGCAACACTTGTATTTGTCTGCAAAAATAACAATGACTCAAGTAAGTCACAAACCTAAGGAAGAAGTATAACCATAAATAAATCTGAACATTTGCTTAAACATCTGTTCTATAAGTCCATGTACCGGAATAAAAGACTCAGTACACATTGAATAGAAAAACTTCAAAAAAAAAATACATATACATGTATATGTATTAAGATGAGATCCATTACAAATGCCTAAAAAACCATTGTAGATTTTTAAATAAACAAAACAATAATAACAATAATAATTCCAGAGAACTATTTTCCTATTAGAATCCCTTTGCTTTGATAAGACAGCCATTGAATAATCCCCGTGTAGGAATCATTGTTCAATTAAACATTAAAAGAAGTTATACCTGTAAAATATTAAGCACAGTCCTGATGACATCTTGATCTTTCAAAAAATCCACGCTTTGGTGTGCCTGTGCTAGGATTTCACCCCATTTCTGCATCAAAACATAACACCACAAAAGCCATCAATAACCAGCAAAGTTCAGTTTGGGCATCTGAGAGAGGTATGAAATACACTGCCAATCAATTCATCTCCTAAACAAACCTGGTTTGGAAGAGCCATCAACCTCTGCAAGTATTCCTCCCTCTTCTGGGTATCAGACTCTGCTTGAATCATATGACCAACCTGAAAACAAGAAAAGGGGAGGGAGAAGAAATGTTATGAAATATGAATTTGATGCATGAATTTATTGATACGGGCACATAAAGGCATACAGATTCATAAAATATGTGGATCTGATGAGGTTCAAGATCTGCGACAGTTGTTGCAAGGCCTGATAGAAGTTCAGACACAAATGGCTCATTTTCTCCAACCTGAAAGCATGAAAAGGTGCATCAATGTGTAAAATGTCTATTGAATTTTAAAAAAAAAATGATTGAACATCTCAGCAAATACATATATTAAGTCAAATCACCGAACCTAAAGAAATCTGGACAATACACAATGATGACCCAAAGATAGTAACATCAGAAAGAAAAATATTTGGGGCAAAAAGTTACCTGTACAATCACAAACTTCCGCTTGCACTTCTGAACAATTTTCAAGAATGTGTCACAAGCCATATCCTGGAAGAGATGTAACATGACGGTTGGAAACACATCAATATAAATGTAATTCTAACAGCAGCAATATGAAACACATTCATATAGGCAATGGAGGAGAAAGACAGAAGACAAATACATCAGCCTATAATTAAAAATCCGCGTCACTTCAGAAATAACATATCATCTATAATTAAAAATATCCATGTTACTTCACAAATATCACACTTGAACATAATTTGCATGCATGGTATACAGACGATTTTATACAAAATACATAGCATTGTCAACAGCTCTTAAATATACATATATTTATTTGTTCCTAGACAAATAATTTCAAAAGTATTTAAGCTCTCTTTAGCTCACTTTAATCCAACATTGCAATTACTTGTATATCTATTCTCGCAAGCATCGGCATAGTTGGTGGATTTGTCATAAGTTTTATGGAGACACCTCAAGATATCACTTTAGTCAATCTTCAAATATAACTAGCATTTCTTGAAAAAAGACATGTTATTATTTTTACTCGAAAACCCGTTTGGAGAACAAACAACTTACTATCACATACAGGTACACATAAAAATGTGATGTTCATTGCCAATATCACGTCTAATCTAAATTAGGAATAACACAACAGAATTATAACCTGAACTCCAGGATGTGTTTCGTGCATGAACTCAAATAACTTATTCACAACAGTTTTCAAGAACTTCCAATGCGCTCTCAAAAATCTTGGATACTGTCCAACAACATACCTGCAACAAAACCAACAGGAAAAATATCAGACATAGGACAAAGACCAAATCCCCAACAATCATTGTACTTCCGGTGCCCTCCAATTATGATCATTGCACACAAATCCACTATACAAAGAACTCCACTGTTTTCAAATAGTAGCATAGGTGATTCGGAATTCTGCCACCAATGACAGTTACATGGAAAGACCATTTTAGTACAGAAAGCAATTCAGAAAGTAACAGGTCCCAAATAGTTTCTCGAAAGCTTTGTTTCAGAATATTGGATATCTTGAAGAGGATCATATGGAAGGGTGAAGAACTCTATGAAAAAGGTGTAATCAAGAACATACTTAAGCAGCCTTCATTTGCCAAATCACAGAAACAGTAACTCTTGAAAATGGTTATGCTCTCATTTTCTAGACCACAAAAGTATGCTAAAAATTTTGCTCTTAAGATTAAAAGAGGTCTTGGAAGAAACCATACAATACTTGATCATTCTTTGATTCAAAACAACTATCTTACAAGCCTTTGTTTCTTATATATGACCAGACCGTTCCACAATAATAACTCTTATTGAACATATCAAACTCAACAAAACATCTTCCACAAATATTCTATACTAAGAACTTACTTATATTACTTGCATAACAGCTTTGTTATTTTCCCTTTCGTCATTTCACATAGATTCAGTAAGTACGAATGACCATTACTAGAAATCTATTTTCCTGAAAGCACACCAAAAAGGTAAGAAATATCAACAGTATACCAATTACAATACTAAAGATGTTAAGATTAAGATCCTAAAATCTGAATGATGGGCTTCAAATTGGAGGAAATGCATCATTGAAAAATGATGCCAATCTATTCTTTTTTTACGATCAATATTACTGAGAATTTTATTTCTCTGAGGAACATGTGATAAATAAAATCAGGTAAATTAAGCCACCAATCAATAACAAAAAAGATAAAACCTAAACTTTAAGCAAACAAGTGTGCATCAAGTTTACTGCATAATTAGGATAGCTAAACATTTGAATGTTGAAGAAAGGAAAACTGAGCCAAAAATTTAGAACAGAATAGAAAAGGGCCGAAATCTTTCATCATTTACACAGAAGTTGACTAAAAATGACAAGATATTATAGACTCTCCAAAATTGATAAAGAAATCATATGTTCAGAATACTTAACAAGTGTTGCACCTTAAATCATGCAACCATTGCATCTAAAATGTGCTAATAACTCAGCCTAGTTAGTTGCATGATGTGAACACAAGACCAGCAGAACTCGCTCATTCAGAAATTCCAGAGAGCAATATCATTAAAAAAAAAATCTTTAGAGGTGATATGAAGAAAACCTGAGAAAACCTAAAGTAAGAATGGATTTAACAAAAGCACAAACTTAGATAAGTAAAATAAAGAGCACAGAAGAAATGTTGTAAGGATGAGATTCTACAGAGCTCAAAAAAATACAACTAACTAAAGACATGCAATTTCAGAAATAAAGGATACCTGCTCCTCCATCATGGACCAGATATGGATCCAATCGCCCAACACAAAGTGTTTAGATTGTCCATGTCCAATCTTCACCACTCAATTGTTTACTTAACTTTTTTAGCATCTGCATTGTATCATAAAATAAATAGCACAATCCAGTTTCAAGATATCATGATCTCATTTATATTCAAAATTAAACATGGTAAGGGGATGCCATAAGAATATAGGCCCACAAAAAAAGTGGCATCCTTTATTAATGGTCCAAATTCATCTTTTCAGTATACACAAAAACAGTAGTAAAACAGAAAGAAGCTAAGTCTAAGATAAGAAACAAGGACAACAGCAGAAGGAAAAATGGACGTAAGCCAAGTCCAAGATTCTTGAAAACAGAATAATAGTAAAATTAACATATACGCTTTTCAGTATCCTCATGGTCAAGGTGTGACAAGTATATTAACGTCTCCCTCATAATCTGTAAGATTGAACTTTCATTAGCCATAAAAGCTAACTATGAACATGCAAAACAGATAATACAAACAACACATAAAGAGTACTGAAAAATAAGTTCTTGTGAAAATAAAGTTCTAAAAGAAAATATTTTAAGAGAAATTATTTTTAGATTTAAAATGGATTAATCATGCAATTAGCATTCTCATTCAAAAAGTCAAGTCACTACAATCACACACGCACTCATGAAATAGACAACTTAGAGACTGACCAGATCAACCCGATTGAGAGATTATTGATTTCATAACATTTTCTGATATATTGATTTCATATAAGTTCTTTTGATAAATTAATTTCAAGTAAGTTGTCTCATAGATTGATTTTCTTATAAGTTACCCACTGATATCTATAGGCATGTATATATGACAAAATTGACTTCTATACCAAGAGGTTTGTCACCTTATATTGAACAAGAACATCATTGTCCTTCAGGTTTCACGAAAATGTCCCATTTCATCTTCAACTATCAAGACTTCTTCAGGCTTAGCCATACGACAGATCATCACATTCTCAATTTGGACATTGGAACAGCATAAAGCTGCCTTCGCTGCATTAGTTGTGCTCCAATACCATCAACCACGGTGGAATTAAAGGCATCTGGTGATTCAATACACAGAAAACTACTTCAGTTCCCAACTTGACAAAGCAAATCACTTATAATATTAAACACAAAAACCATAGAAGCAAAATCCAACATACCGGCAAGCCCATAATGTTGCAGCTACTGCAGGATTATCCAGATTATGGGTGCATCAAACAACTCCAAAACCAAAGAGTTCCATAGTCCAAGCAAACCTGCTCATCAAACAACCAGTAAGAACGCAAAAGTGCAGCATTTTAACTTCAGACACAACAATACTACATACAGGGGCAAATGACGAATGACCACCTTAAAAACTCCGTGTCATCCACATATGAGATATTAATTAGATATTCAAGACCCATAAGCAATGCATTTATTTTCTTGTGAGGATTCCAGCACTCGATATGAAACTGCACCAAAAAGAAAAAGGTCAGTTATACAAATAGACTCTAGCACTGGAACATGAAACTGCCAACTCAAGGATGAACATGCATAATGTATGTGCATCTGTTGTTCTGTAGGTAAATACAATATTTGGATAATCACATTCACTTCCCCTTAGGACCAAGGTAACCCTAGTTCGCCAATTTTCACAAAACAAGGCCAAGCAACTTAGTGACTCCTAACTGCACCTTGTGCTTTGTAAGAACCTAAGTATCCCAAAGAGATTTGAAAGAAAGATGAAATATCTGAAAGAAAGATGCATAATGTGTGCATCTGTTGTTCTGTAGGTAAATACAATATGGATATCACATTCACTTCCCCTTAGGACCAAGGTAACCCATATTCGCCCATTTTCACAAAACAAGGCCAAGCAACTTAGTGACTCCTAACTGCACCTTGGCTTTGTAAGAACCTAAGTATCCCAAAGAGATTTGAAAGAAAGATGAAATATCGATTGACAGAACATGCACTGTTCAAGATAAACAGAACATGCACTGTCCAAGATAAGAAAACAAAAAAAATTGGAATTTCGAAATATATGAAAAATACTAGAAAAAAAGAGAAATTGGATTCGATATTCTAAATCAATTCTGTCATTTGTGTTCTGAAAATAAAGAACAAAAAAAGAAGAAGCAATAGCAACTGTAAAACATATTATTCATAAGAAATTTACCACTAAAAAGGATCAATGATGTACAAGAGAGCTTTCAGTGAATATCTGTTACACTTGAGGATTATAATTACAAATCCAAAAACTTCATCAGATTGCCCTTCACAATCCAATACAGGGTAATTCCAATTTATATTCAATTATCAGACACATCAATTTATGCAAACCTACCAGAAAAAAGAGTTGCCAAGGTACCCAAAAAAAAAAAAAAAAATTATCAATCTAAATCATCCCATATCATTCTATTGTTCATTGGGACCAAAAAGAGGCTTGCCTTGTAAAATGACGTAAAAAAGAGTGCCAGATTCTGGATAAATGCCTGTAAAAACATCATAAAGTATAAATAATTCAGTATAAAAAAGTTAAAAATACATATCATGCTTTAAGCCCATATGAAACTATAAGTAATGAGAGCACTCACCTGTTCCTCACTAGAACCATGCGCATAAGCCTCAGGGATGTTTGTAGTTGGCGGGAGAATGGTCTAAGAAAGGTGATAAAAAAATGTTACAGTTACAAGATATAGATAAAAATTTCACAGAATAAGTAATAACCATGAACGATAGCACATCTAAAGCATATTAAGGAACTATGTACTAACACACCTGTAACTGAACCATGAATACGTTATACATGTTAACATACTGCACATTATAGAAGTCACCAAAATTGAGGGCTGCAATCTGCAAATATCAGAAAATAAACAATATCCAAAAAACTTAGTACATAGACAAATATGATTTACCAAAATACAATCGAAAAAGAATTTCATAGAAGAAAAACAAAGGCACCTCTGTTAAACACTGTAGAGTGAGATTCCTATACGATGGCAGTGGAAAAAATTTCAGGAGTGTTTCGAGCTACAAGGCACATACAGAAAAAAGAATGTGAATCTTTGATAATTCAGATTGTGGACAAAATCACAACAACAGAAGAAATACATACTAATGGGGATTCAAAAATATAGCCCAAGGGAATCCAAGAAAGGAATGCGTGCAAAGTGGACAGTGTTGCTCGTATAAGCTCAGTTCTCTGAGATGCCGATAAGACATACAAGCATAACTCATGAATGAGCTGAAACTCACTGCAATGAACAAAAAAAAATCATGGCATTGAACAAACATAAACCAGAAAAAAAGAACTAACATCACAAAAAAAAAAAAACAACTTGAATAATTGAAGTTTCCAAATGCCAGGAGGCCAACATGTCAAATCAAGATAGCCAAAATATAAGTTCTGCTAACAATTACAATAAGAACGATAAATAATTAAATTTATCAAAACAAACTTCATTTTAACCGCTTCAGTCAGTTAAGACTCTTCTAAATTAAGCAAAAACAAGCAAGCTATCAATAGTCATTATCCAACAAATAGAACAATTCCATCAATAATGATTTCTTTTATTTCAGGATTTAAGAAGGAAAAATAATACATATAATTCAATGTCTGACCTTTGAGGAATAAGAAATGCACCTAGAAAATACCACTGAAACTACAGATGATTATTATCTCAATATAAGGCACAACTACATTACTTCTGTTGATTCTTTTGAAAACTAAGGACGCAACATTAATAAAAACTTGACGTTTGTAACAGATTTTCCCGTGCAAAAATCCTAGCAGTAATGTAGTTATGAACAATGCAATGTACTGTACCTTCCTGACCTCAGCATCATATAAATACAGATGTCCTTGAATCATTTTTTATTAAAAAAATGTCCTTGTATCAATTTAAAAAGCAAATTAGACCCATAGAAGCAATAAGGAAGCAACCAAAAGTAGTATATCACTAGAAACAACCATAAGGATTCCAAATACATCAACAGACTTGCCTGTTCAACGATTGTTTGAGCTCTTTGATCTTCTGCTGAGTCATTTCCCCTCTTGAAAAATCAAATACTTCTTCACTTAGAAGCTGACACAAAAAAAAATTGTGTTACTCAAATATGCCAGAACATTAGATTATTAAGGAGTGACAAGAGCATACCTTTAATATTGCCATGCAATTCTCACATATTGTTTCACTGGTTTTGGCAGCGGCAACAAGATCTGGGATAAAGCTTCGCCATCTAGCCGGCCACTCATGCTTCAAAATCTGCAAATTCATTAGACAAATATTTTGATCAGATAAACAACACAAATTCATGTTGAAGGACCATTCTTTATAAATAATAACAGAAAAAGATAAAGGAAAAAACAGCATCCTCAATAGCAATTAATAAAAAAAGCACACATGTGAAATGTCATTGGAACAAGTTTCAGGAATTCGTAGAATCAAACTGGGATTACCTGAACCAATATGATATTTAGTTTGTTGACATACAGCCGTTCTAATCGAAAAGATCCCTCATTACTTGAAAGCTACATTCAGAAATAAAGAAATGTCAAGGGCAAATAACATTTCAAGATACTTACATATACCGTCAGCCAACCCCAATGGAGATATTTCTCTAAAATGTATACCTGTACAATGACTTCAGAAATGTAATTCTTCATTCCATCACGCTGTTCAGCAGGCAATGCATTCCATCTATATTTAATAACTCCTTCAAGAACCTGTATATTGTAAAAGCACAGATAATGAGAAAGCTCCTCAAAACCAACACCTCAAATATAGTATTACATAATCTTGATTTGAAATTATGTAATACATCTGTGTATACCAGGTGTAAGGCAATCTGTTATGTCACTCAGCATATCTGTTGATTCTCGATAACAAAGTCAAATTTCCCAGGAGGCTTTTGGATATTCAATTTTGACTACATATTGCTACATAATTAGGTACTCTACACCATCAAAGCCAACCCAACACTCAGCAAAGAGTTCCAAAAGAAACACCCACTTAACCAAAATTGCTGGCACAATAAAAGATTCACTACAAGTTTGCTGATTCCAACAATTTTTGGAGAACTGAAAATAACACATCTATAAAAACCAGGTAGCTGCAGCCAATTCATGGCTGGAAGTAATTTCGTCATTAGCAAGAGGAACCATTTATCCCATATGACATAAGGCTCTCAAAGTGAAAATACAACCACCTACAGTTGTGAGCATAGATACTAGTAATTTTCCCCAAAAAAAGGGTTAATTCAGCTTGCCACCCTGATGTCTAATAAATTTTAGGCACCCTTGCACCACCTACCTCAAATTAAAACCATGTGTTTATTATAGATAACTAAAACAGCTATTTAAAATGTACTTGCTACCAAAATATATACTGGTGTATAAGCATAGATTTCAATACGTAGAGATGTTGCCACTAACCTGCAAAGCAAAAAACTTGGTGTTCAGGTTTTTTGTATTCTGTAGAATGTGCACAACTTGGAGCCACATGTCAGGATTGTTTTGCAAGTCCCGCAAGATCTGATCTGCAGCTGTTCTCTATATCACCAATATAAATGGCAAATAAACAAGGTGAGATAAACGAAATGCATGATAACCAAGAAAATTATGTGCCTATAATTCTGAAGTTCCTAAGACAATGAGGCAACCTATTTCTAAGAACACAGTAGATAGCTAACAAAGTTAGAAACCTAAATGCTAGAATATTCCGACAAAAGAACCTTTTTATGGTAAACATTAATTCTTCATTTCTCAGGTTTTACATTTGATTAAGATACAATTGTAATAACTAGCAAAAATGTTAGTAAAAAAATGAATCAGAAAATCCTTAGTTGGTAAACAAAGATATCAAAAACATCATAAAAAGATATCCGTGCCTGGGGGGTTCCATCCAAAAACAGGATTTATCATTCAAAAGACAAGTGTGTTAGAACTAACCCTGGCTTGATCATTTTACAATAAAAAGGAAGAGATGAAAATGTTAACTTCTTAATTAAAAACATAAGGTTCAAAAAGAATATGTCAGAACCACATAAACATGCAGGAATCACAAATTCTCATATAAACCAAAAAAAAAAGGGTAGAAATGCTGAAAAACTTATCAGAAGACTTAACAGACACTAAACCACAAACTACATTTTCAATTTAACAAAAAGACCAAAACCTTCAAATGTCCTCCTATTTCCAACCAATAGACAACAAAAAAACAGCAGTCATACAAAACCCCACTAAAGTTAAACACATTAAACCCAAAAAAAACCATTATTCAAAAAACAGTTAAGACATTGAGAGTTTATCTCGATCATTTTCCGTAACCTTTGAGGGGAGGGGGAAAACACTGACATAAAAGTCAGCCTTTGAGTAAAAGTCTTGTGCGTATTGAACCATAAAAATGGGAAGCTCACTTCGTCCAAAATTTTGGAACCTATTGGAACTAGTGTGAGAGAATTAAAAATCTCAGTTGTCACAAAAACAACCTGAAGGAAGAGGGGTAAACACGCATAAAAGTCAGCCTTATAAGTAAAAGTCTTGTGCGTATAACCATAAAATTGGTAGCTCACTTCGTCCAAAATTTGGAGCCTAGAGAATTAAAAATCTCAGTTGTCACATGAAAAACACTTGAGAAAGAGCTTCAAATCTGCCCCTTTCTCTCACTTTCTAAATTACCCCTGAATTATTATAATAATAATCAAACTATGTGCTGCCATTAAGAGGGAATGTGCTCTAAACCCCAATAGTCAAACGTAATATGCCCTCATTTTCACTCACTTTCTGGACAACAAAAGGAAATCAATAAGAGAACAACTAAATTACACTAAATGCATAAACCCATAAAACCCCAAAAACAATAAACAATTCCAATAATCCCCTCTCCAAGCAATTCTAAAAGCAAACAAATACTTAACAGTTAAGAACAATAAAAACCAGAAAAACACGCAAACTTCCCCTTACAATTAAACTTTCCGCAAACATCACCCAAGCAACTCCAGCAGACACCAATTTTCCGCTCATTTTCAGTAACTTTCTCAAGAAAAAGAGAGAGACAATGCTAAGGAAAACAAAAGAATAAAATAGCTCACTCCTCCTTCAGAACCCCTCACAATTAACCCTAAACTAAACCACACTAAACAATTCCAACAAATGCAAATTACCCTTCTATTCCGCAACTTCGTCAGAACACCACACATCCTCCACTACACCCAAAACATTCCGCACAAACCACCAATTATTCCCTAACTTTCTCGGGAAACAAACCGAAACAGAAACCAAAGCGGAGAAAACGAATGCTCACTTCTTCCTTAGATCCGGTGCCGTAGAAGGCCGCAACCGTGGCGTCGAGCAAGGCGACGTCAATCGGCTGGCTCAAATCTCGAAGCTTCTCGGCCGCCATGGCGTGAAATGAAATCGATGGTAATCTCAGTTGCAAAGACAACACTGTCGAGAGAGCAAGCGACTGTCAAGTAGTAAACCCTAGAAGCTGTACGGACGAAAGCGAAACCCTAAGAGAGAGAAAAACGAAAACAAAAAAAATAAAAAGAGAGAAATTCGAAAAAGGAAAGACGAAAGACTTTGATGAGTGGTGTGTAGAAGAGAGAAGGAAGAGAGAGAGAGTGTTGAGGAAGAGTCCACAGAGGGTTATATAGAGACAGAGCGGAGAGGGAACAGATGGGAGAGACAGCTTAAAAATGAAGCAGAGAGGGAGAGAATGGACTTTGAATTGTGTTTTATTTACGATTTTGCTGCTTTTCTTTTTTTAAATGTTTTTTTAATTATAATTTTTTAATTTAGAGGAGGATGAGGGTTTTGGGCGGGTTTGAAGAGATGTTTGGTTGCGGATTTAGGGAGGTACGTAGGGTAACGTAACCTGAGTTAATTTTGGTCGATGAAGATGAGACCCAATAAAATCTGATAATAACACTTAGGGCCCGTTTGATAGGTTATTTGAAAAAATATTATTCTGAAAAACTATTTGAATATGATAAATAGTAGAGGTGTTCGGTTCCGGGTACCCTATACTTTTTGAAGGAACCGGAACTGACGGTTCCTTGAAATTTGGAACCAGAACCGGAACCGACGGTTCCGGTTCCTAGGTACCCAGAACCAGAACCTGTAACAACGGTTCCGATTCGGTTCTGGGTACCCTGTAAAATTACATGACCCCCCAAAAGTTTTTAAAATGGCAAAAAAACCTTTAAAAACTTACAAATACCCCCCCATCTGGTACTTTTTACAAAAATAAAATTACAAATTATAAATTCAAAATTACAAACTCCATTACTTTATAAAGGTAGATTCTCAAAAGTCAAACCAACTTACTTTAAATGTTATGAAATATAAATATAAATATTACATTACTTTTTCTACAAAAGTTATATTAACTCCCCTAATTTTAATTTTATTTTAATTAGTCTCGGTTCCTGGTTCCTGGTTCCGGTTTAGTTCCTAACTATAGGAACCGGAACCGGAACCGCACAGTAACGGTTCCAAAAATTTGGAACCGGAACCTACCCATTAACGACTGGTTTGGGTAGGAATCGGAACCAAACCCAGGGTACCCGGTTCCGGTTCCAACCGGTTTTTTGAACACCCCTATAAAATAGGATTGAATAAAATATGATAGGATTCTGAGAATGTATTTTGTTAATATTTGAAAATTATGTCAGAGTTGTGATTAAATGCTGATAATTATTGGTACATTTTATGAAAAAATTTTTGAAATATTTAGGTTATTTGAACCCCTACATTTATTAATTTAGCTAAACACTCACCCATAAAACTTTAAAATATAACAAAAACACTCCACAATAAAACCTTAAAAATTAACCCCCTCCCAAAAAAAAAAAAAAAAGAAAAAGAAAAAAGAAGTCGTCGAGACGGCCAAAATTTGGCTATCATCAATGGCAATCTGGCCATCAACGATAGCCAGATTTTGGGTCATAGATTTGGACGGAAACTATAAGATTTGCGCATGATCGATCAAATCTAGCCAATCGTGCATCGTTCCGGTGTGTTTCCTCGTAGTTGTCAATGGCTACTGGTTGGGTGGGGGGGGTGTTTTTATTAATTTATAATTTTTTATTATGAAATGTAATTGTTTTTAGTGAACAGAGTTGGAAAAAAGTTAGAAAGGGATAATAAAAAACAAATATTCAATAAAAAAAATCTTATTTAATTCAGATTAATTTTCAAATATGATCACAATAAGTAAACAAATACTATTCATTTTTTTTTTAATCTAAATAAGATAACAATAAAATAATTCTAAAGAGTGAAAAAACAGGGGTTATATTATTGGAAGATGGCACCTTTTTCCGTCTTCTATAAAAGTCTAAAATACCCCTAATATTTCCTAATGTAAATGAAATTAAAATTAATAAAATTATAAAACAAATAAAAGGCTTCTAACTGAAATTTTGGTAAAAATTAAGAACAATTTCATGGATTTTAAGAAAAAAAAATGAACAAATAAGGATATGCTAGACTTTAAAAAAAACAAAACAAAAAAAAAAAAAAAAAAAAACCAAAAGGTTTATATTTGATAAGAACCTAGGGTCCGTTTGTTTTATTATTTTAGATAGGATTTTGGGAATAATATTGGGTAGTTGAATTGAGGAGTATTATGAGGTAAAATTTAAAAATTTATAAAAAAACCCACGAGGTTTGCTAATTTAATAAACACCCCAATATATAAAAATTTTATAAAATGACAAAAACACCCCTACCAACCGTAGTGCCAGATTCCGGCCACCACCTCCGGAATCTAGCCGAAAATTTGTGTAACAACACATACCGGTCAGATCTGGCAGGTATGGCGTCGATGTGGCCGGAAAAAGCAAGATCTACGACCAGATGTGACCATCGACGGCCGCAAAAATCCATCTTTAAACGTCGCTAACGATCAGATCAGTGAATTACCTGCCAGTTCCGGTCGTGGTGTAGGCCATTGTGACAGATTCAGGCTACCACCGACGGTGATTGCCGAAATCTGGCAAGTATAGGTTAGTGGGGGTGTTTTTGTTAATTTTTTAACTTTTCTTTATGGGGGTATTAAATGAAATTAATAAACTTAAGGGTCTAAAATAATTAAAATATATAGTAATATTTCTCAAATAATGTATCAAACAATATTTGGAGAATAGGATTGGGAATATAGGTAAAATATGGAACCAAACGCACGAAATATTATTATCAAGTGAGTACTTAGGCTATACTTGAGGGATCAAAATGGATTTATTATAGTGTAAAGTTGTTGCATGAGATTAGAGAGTTTATAACAATTTCCTCTTCAAGGTTTAGAGAAAGTAACAAATGAACCAAGGGCTTCAAAAGGTAATGGATGTACACAAAAAGTCAATTACTTTTGATCTCATAGTTCTTGGTTGTGAAGATACGCGTTGCTAGGTGTTCAATTTGTTTTTTTTTTTTTTTTTTTTTTTTTTCTCATTGAGGCTGAACCTAAATATGTGCTCAAAAGATAGTTGTCTATACACTAATAAGGGATGTTGAGAAGAGAGGAGTCGTGGTGGTCTCCCTCAGACCATCTGAATCCCATGAGTGAATACAAAGTTGGATCTCACCTGAATCGCCCCAAATAAAAGCTCCAATAATTTTTATCTAGTTATATACATTTTTTAACTTAATTATATAAAAATTTGAAAAAATAAAAACTAAAAAGAATTTGAAACTTTGTTTTAAAAAGATTTTAACATCATTTATCTTATTATGAGGTGTTTGTCTAAGCTTATAAGTTGGTCAAACTAACTTATAAGCTCTAAAATTAAGCTGACATGTTTGTTTATAACTTTTTTGAGCTTATAAGCAAAAGAAAAATAAGTTGGGGGGAGGTACATTTTTTTTTTTTTTTTTTTGCTTATAAGCACTTTATTAGTTTGACAAAGTATATTACCACATTATCCTTGTTTAATTTTAAAATTCTATAGTACACCCTTGTTTAATGTAGTACCCTTTTTAGTCATTTTATCAAATATGTCAACTACTTATCAATCACTTATAAGTATTTTAACCAAACACGTAATTGCTTAAAATTTCAAAAGCTTATAAGCTAAAATTAGCTTATAAACACTTGTTGATTATAAGCTAATTTTCATAAACTCAAAGAGGGAAGAGATATAAAGACCCCCTCTATAGAGGGAAGAGATATAAAGAAAAATGATATCCTTATAAAGACTCATACAAAGAGGGGTACAAAGTGACATCAGCAAGAAGAAAAAAACAAAGAAAAAACGGAAAGAGAAAGAAATCATGAAAATCAAGGATAAAGATTGTCTTTGTATGCCCCCTTTATATATGTCTTTGTAAAACTAGCATTGCTCGATATATAAATGACAGCTTAAAATTGAAGGAAGAGGGAAAGAATGAGATTACCATGGCTTATTTACATTTTTTTTTTTTAAATGTTATTTTATTAATTTTTAATTTAAGTATGAGGATGGTTTTGGGTTTGGGGTGTGTTTGGTCGTGGGTTTAGGGATGTACGTGGGGTGGCATAGGATTTCATGGGATTACAGTAGGCCAACGGGGATCTTTTTAGACTTTTTGGGGTAATTTAATTAATAGGAGAGAGTGTATTATTTAGTGTGATATTGACAAATGTTGAAACCTTAAGTTATTATTTTTATGAATATTTTGCAATATGTATTATTTACGAGATATTTAGCTATAAAATCAAGTGATTACGAATTATATTTTTAATAAATAAATTTACCATTGTATAATACTATATTTGATATTTTAGTATTTTGAGAAGGGATTATCCTATATATTTTTAATAAATATTAGATTATTTTTTCGATCTAATACAATCTAATAAACTTGACAACCGTAGTGAAGATAATTATTTTTAATAATTACCCAACAATCTCTAAACCGTTAGATTAATAAATTGGAATCTACATATAATCAAATCTCCTACATGGATTAAAACAAAATTATAAAAGTGTTAATGATTTTATGTGTTTGATAATACAGTTTAAAGACAGTATTTTAAATTAAAACAACTAAATACATTAAATATAATATAAAGTATTTTAAATGAAATTTATTGTAAGGCATGGAGTTTTACATAGCATGTGAGTTACATTATTTAATTAATGAATTGTACCATATTTAATGTTTTACGTAACGGTTCATAACCTGTCATTAAGAGATTTACAATATTTATGACATTTATATGATAATTTTTTGGATTTTAAATTAATGTAATTAAAAATTTTATAGGGTTCATTTTATTATATTTTGAAAAACAAAAAACAAAAATAAATTTTTTAATTTTAATGTTGGTGACAGCCAAGAAAATAGATTTGATTTGATGAGTCACGTTGGAAATTATGGAATAATTAAATATTATTTAATTCGCTTCATTTATTTACGGTTGTTAGAGCCGTGAGTCCGTGACCGTGCCGTGACTGTAGAAAATTATTTGCTGATTGACATTGGCGAACGTATAGAAAATATGCACTGCGGTCAACAAAGGAGATTCTAGATTCACGGGTTTGTGAAATTCGGATATAACTTGTGATACCTGTCTCCACGTTATTGGATCCCAGATCATATTGAAGATTCAAATAAATTCAAAAGGGCACAAGAAGCTCAAGTCTTTCAATTGAGGC